TGGTCTTAAGACCAAGACCAACTTCAAGTACCACAACACTGTTGTTAGCTGTAACTTTCTATAAGGTTCACAAATAATGAGATGTTCAAGGTCATACATGAAGATTCCATATCACTAAATTAATCTTTACTAATGGGACAAACACAAAATAAAGACTAGAACCCCACCAGCTGGAGCAGCTTTTGACTCATAAATGGAGCATTGATAAACATACTTCATGTCCACTGATGACTTTGATGATGGCACTCGACAAAATGTAACTTTACTGGTTTCTTAAATGGTGACTGTGCATTGTTTTTATGACGTTTTTATTTTTGTGTTTTTATAATGTAATGCACTCTGAACTATTGTGTTGCTGAAATGTGTTATACAAACGGAAATGATTGATTGATTGATTGATTGATATAGCTATAGCTTAGTAGTAAAAATCTGTCATTTAAGTGGCTGTTAGGCCACACCATTACAGACCCTACTGAAGTCGTTTTTTCAAATGAGGATTATCTGTTTAAATGTTTACTACATGGCAAATGGAATGTAAATCTTTCAATTTTTTTTTTCTTTTCCTTTACAGCAATGCCTCAGGAGTTTCATTGAGCTGCTTTTTAACTTCCAGATAGCTGTGCTGCTTTATTACACTATTTTTATGTTAAGAGAAATAAACACAAAATTGATTTTGTATTCATGATAGTCCAAATATAATTTTTCTGACCATTTTATTTTGTCAGGGCACCACAAACTTCAGCCACCACAAGGGGGCGACCAACGCTTTCAGCCCAGTAGTAGCAGTGAAACCAAACCAGGTATTTAGAAAGCTTTAGGATTCTGGAGGGGCTCGAAGGTGCTTCATCATCTCATGCTACTAATTGATGCTAAATATTTATAAACTCTGCATTAAAATATATTGCTAAGACAGGAAGCATTTATGGAATTATGGACAGTAGAACTTGAGATCATGTTAATTATTCTCTTGTGTGTATTGATGAAGGCCTGTGCTTCAGAGATGTCGACTATTTTGAATAGATTCAGTGGAATATGCAAGAGGTGTGAATCATCTGTTTTAATCATAGGGAGATCTATTTCCCTTATTTTCTTTTGATTTTCAAAACTGGTGTCTGTCAGTAATTCTAAACATTTTCATCTATTGCCCAGTATATATGTTCATATAGCTGACATTCTGAAAGTTTTAACGTCAGCTGCATTAGAAGCATTTTGACCCACAGTAAACTTTCCCCCTAAAATATAGCACCAGATCTGTCATAAATCTTGCTGAAACAATGAATGACTTCTCACTTTTGGCTTGATGACGGCAAAAAGATCCCTCCCGATAACCAGCTCCTGGGCGAAGCAGTAGTGCTCTTTAGACTGGAAGGCGATGCCAAACAGGCCCACAATGCAGGGGTGGCAGGACAGGTGTAAGGAGATGCAGTACTCTCGTAGAAAGCCCTGCAATTTAGTGGAGGCTTTAGGCATCACTTTCAGGGCCATTGGAGTCCCTGCAGACCAACCACAGTGCAGTCGTCACCGTTGGAAACAGGCACCGTTGCTGCTTCCTACAGGTTTCATACATGCTTTGCCACAGAGAAACACTGAGATCTCTTCCAGTTTATTTCCATATACTGGCCTCTGTTAGTTTTTCAGTCCTGTGAGCTGCATTAATCTGTATACTTTGTCTACATTTACCATTTAACTGCTTTGCTACTCACTGACTCATGAGGCACCATACAGTCCAACGAGTTCAGCGGAGTATCTCTGATCAAAATGTTGAAGTTTTTCAGCTGCATTTTGATAGTCGTGGTTCCTCTGTTTAGAATTTCAGACTTTGAGTCTTCAAAGACATCATAACTAGCTTTGATAACTTTTAGAGAAAGAATTGTTTTGTCTTGTGTGATCTTAGAAAGACAGAATAAAAATAAATCTTGAATTTCTCTTTTCATTATTTAGAGAAATAATGAAGAGTACTTAAAAAAAACTTTCAGGCTCCATTTATAGAGCAAATAAATAGTAAATAAATATTTATTTTATTGGTTAATTACATGTACATAGACCCAAATGAGCAAATAACTGAAGTTTGAAACTAACAGTTGAAGTGCGATCAGAAGAGTTTCACACTTTTATAGCAAAGTTTGTGGATCGACACCAGTTTAGTTCTGGAACCAGTTTAGAACCAGTTTGAAATGTTTGACATGTCATTTGAATTCAATAATATAAATTATTAGTTCAACGATTTTTCTTAAATAGGACAGTTTTGAAATTTCAAAAATTCATAGCTATCCAGATTAAACTTACTGAGGTTTTTATAGAAATTCAGAGAAATAAGATTCGATGATGGATAAATGAAAATAATAAAAAGAGTTGGTGAATAATGCTTTACATGACTGTACATTTTGTAATATCTTTGCACTTTGATTTAAATAAACTGCCCCCTGAGGCTGCAATAGTAACAATTCATACCCCTAAAACGATGAGTGACCAGCAACACTTTGCCATATTTTCCACGTCCGATCTCCTTGACGATGTTGAAATGTTCCTGGATCTCCAGCTGACCGATGCTCTGCGCCGTCAGCTCCATCAGCTCATCGATGAGGCTCCCATCAGCGAGACCCAGCTCAATCATCTCCTTCCAAAACCATAAAACAAATTCGTTTTTTTCTTTGTTTGCATAAGATTTAGGAGACGGGGCTCACCTAAAACAAATGTCTAGTTTGCCTGTTTATGCACATATTTACCTGAGATCTAGCATCAAGTAAATCTCCAACTTAATCCAAATTTAATGGAAAGTAACTTTGATTCAAAAAAGCTTTTTACTGAAACAAAAGAAAAAAATTCTTCTATCTTCTGTTGAAGTCAGGCATTGTGTTGATCTGCTTTAAAGAAAAGATTGTTTGATATAATGTGTATATATACATATATGTATGTGTGTGTGTGTGTGTGTGTGTGTAGGTGTGTGTGTGCGTGCGTGTTCGTGTGTGTGTGTACATGTACGTGTGTAGTGTTAAATTTGCATTCTGTAAGCTTATACAAGGTGGTGATGGATGTGGTCTTGTTACTGTCATACACACAGCATGCGTTGGTCGGGATCCTTATCACATAATCTACTAAAAGATGTAACTTTTTTTTAACATGTATAATTTACAACAATCACCAAAAGTCAAGATAACTAATAATGATATTAGCAAAAAACGATGTCAGTCTATTGGTTTAAAGCTATACTGCTAAAGTAGTAGTGATTTATCAATCACTACTGTTTTAGTTTAGTCAGTAAATTTCTGAAAATTCATGTTTTTTAACAATGAATTTAACAATGTTATCATTAATTATATGGTTTTAATGACACATACAGTAAACTATCTAGAAAGAGCCCAAAACACTAAGATGTTTTCCACATATGTCAATGATAAGTTATTAAATTCTCAGCTGCTGTTGTTAAATTGATGTTAATAATGAGTAGATACTGATAATATCTTAAAACCTCTTCATGCTTACCTTTTCTAGAGGCAGCTCCCAAACTCAGTCACTAGAATCTGAATAGCAAGCAGTGCAAATGAACACAATGTCTACAGCTGGTAAATGTTATCTGCAAATGCTGAATCACTGTCTTCCTTATTCCCTCTTCCAATGTCACTAGTGCTGCTCCAGCAAGAGTAGCTCTGAAAGCTCTGCACTGTCCGGCTCACTGCGGTGCGTTCAAATGCTGTGATACATCAGAGCCAACTTTAACAGCTGATTACAAGCTGGCTCTGCAAAAGACACGCATACATACCAACACGCACGCACACACATTTGCGTGACTATCTTTGTGGGGACTTTTCATTGAGTTCCATTCATTTCTACAGCTTAAACCTTACCCTTATCCTAACCCTGACCATTCCATATCCAACCCCAACCCTACCCAAAATTCAATTCACACCTCAGTCCTAAATATAACCCCTGACCCAAAAACAGTGTTTCCCCTTGTGGGGAAACACTGGCCTATATAACACAGGTAGCCTATATATATATATATATATATATATATATATATATATATATATATATATATATATCTCACAGGCTTTGGTCCCCACAGCTTAGTGTCACGAAAATGGTCCCCGTAAGGTATTACAAACAAACACACACACACACACACATATGCACACACAAACTACTTTGAATTTCTATCCATATTAGAACTTTATGCACAATCCAGACATTTTCATTCATCCTAAGCAGTAGCAGTATTTTCCTAACCCTAACCCTATAATTCACGCTTTGCCTCTAAACCTAACCCCTCACCTAAAACAAAGGTGGTCCAATGTATTATGACTGGGTTTTGGTCCACATAAGGCCCGTTGGTCTTCAGGAGGTTAGTAAACACGTCGAAAATGGTCCTATGTTGTGTTGGATGACAGAAATTGCAGAATGTCTGTATTAGGTAGAATATTATTTTGATTAATAATGTATTATTAAGGAAGTTATTAACATGTAGTAGAAGTTTCTTTTAACTAATAGAAGAAGAGCAGGAGCACCACCGGAGTTTCTGGAATAACTAGCCAAACACTTTCAGCTTCTCATGAAAGAATGAATTCAACGTTACTGGACAGCAGCTACATTTCACTGGAATGTTTTCTAATACAGTGTGAGAATTTATTAACAAAATGGCTCAACCTTTCACTCATATATTCCGTCAATGAGCTTCCTCGCCTAAGCTACCAATTATGCAATCTACTGGTCTAAAAACAATGAGTAATTAAGAACCAAATCTACTAAATAATGAAGGTAGGAAGAGGATGGAAAACTGAAAAACAACGTCAAGACTAATCGACAAATTAGCAAAACAAAGAGTAAGATCAGAAGAACAAATCATCATAACTATTGATGATCACTATTCACTGTGACAATAGTGAGACATGATGCCCAGACCTGAGCACCACGTCTGGACATGTGGTCAGATCTAGTAGCTCCTCAGAGAGAACATATGAAAACATCTAAATAATTTTATTTAACTAACTTATCTCAGTGCAGACACTTTAAAGAAGATCCAACCTTACTGTGAGATGATCAGTCTCAAAGTCAGATTGAAAATGATGTCCAGGGAGTGACTGGCCCAACAGACTAGGTGAGCTGGATGCACAACTGGAGACTCTCAGAAAGACCCAGTGGTACTGTTGCTCGGTTTAACTGTTGTTAGGTTTAACAACTACATGGGAACTGCTCGGCAACGTGAGCGTACATCTAAAATAGCAGGACAGCAAAGGATTTTGTATATCTCTGTTTCAGTCATGTGGGAACTTAAAAAATCTGGAAGGACAGACAAGGATTTTTAAAGGTTCTCCAGGTAACACTGAAGGTTTTATCATCCTTTCTCGGGTTCATGGCTTTTTAGCTTAGAACATTCATACAATTTTGCAGAGGATTGTCAGTATTAATCAGGACTGTTGGCACATTTATGTCTTTTTTCAAGAACTATATATATTCTTTGGTGTTTGATTCAAACAGAGTTTGAGTTTATTATATGATATCAGTCATGGAGTACATTTGTATTTTGTATTAACGCCACAAGGTGTAATTTATGTCAAGTACAGTGGAACCCCAATTACTGGTGATTCAGTTTTCGCAGATTAATCTAGTCGCTGATTTTTCTATGGAAGGTAAAATGTGTCTATTTGTCTTTTTGTTCATAAACTCACACATCCTGACATGCTTTAATTTAAAAAGTCCTTTTGGTTTGTCCTTTTTCTACTGTCTTAGTATCTTCACTTGATCTTTTGACCAGTGCTTCAGCCAAACAAAACAAGCCATGACCGAGGTTTAGCAGTGACAGCTCCAGATACTGCTCCTGTTTCACTCCGTGGTGCGGTGCAACATATCTTAGCATTTTACAACCTCCTAAAGTTCAAACTCCATCCAGAATTACAAAAGATTTCACTGACTGTGCCTTTCATCGTTCGATAATGTCTGACATTCCCAGTTTTCCCAACGAGTCTACAACCAGCTCAGAGAGATTCTTACTTTCATCAAGGCTCTGAGTTGGGAATGCACTCAAGTAGTGCCACTCATGTGAAACAAATCCCTCAGTATGTCACCTTTATCCCAGGAAGGCTCAGTGGGGGTGTTGTTGTACCAGTGTGAGAGTAAAAGTGTGCGTTAATCCATGCTTCAATTGCTGGTAACTCACTCAACACCATCTTCATACCATAGTGGTTATTTTTGGGCAGAACCAAGCTCCCAAGCTAAACAAATGATCCCAAGAAACAGATACTTTGTTAATCCTGCTGGACTTTAATGAGGTGTGAAGAACTCATAGCTTAGCTTCAAACTACAGAGGTCATTTTATTGGAAATAATAGCTTGAATGTCCGCGTGTTTTTGGACAAGACACCTAAATTTAATCATCTACTCGACATAACCATACAGCTTTAACATTCTGAGGCAGGTAACACGAAGCTATATGTAGAGTGTCCAGAACCACCTAATGAAAGCTCCCAGCTACTGCTGGATGAGCTCACAGCCAGAGTGAGTAATTGTAGTTATGTAGTGGAGTGTGTTCTGAAATTTGTGATCATCATGTTACGCTGTCACCACATAGATGGGTTAATGTCATACTTGAGATCCTTTCCTTCTAGGACAGTGCTGAGTCGTCTTCAAGGCGCCAGAGAGAGTCCCAGTCCAAACCTCCAGCCTCCAGACGTTCCCGCTTCTGTCCTCCATGTCCTGGAGGAATTCATTTACAGAGGTGTGAGAACTGATGTAGCAGCTCAGTGTACTGGTTGAGACAATTTATTTTGGTAACATTTTTGAAATTAGTTTTCATGTAAAGAGTGAGACAATATGCAGGAAGTTCCGATGCACTTGTCTGATCCGTGACATTCCTCTGGCCTCTCTGGTCAGTCAGGTTTGTGAGGCGGTGAGATGAGGACGTCACTCATGTTCCAAACAGTACTGCTGTGACTCAGCTCATTCCTAAACAGCAGTTTATTGCTTGTAAGCATGCGTTGCATAGCCAGACTGTTTCACTTTGGATTTCTCTTAATTACCAAAGAGGAACAGAAAAGAGGAACCGTTTCATGATGATCAATGTACAAAAAGAGTAAAACTGTAGCAGCAGGCAGAAGCAGAAATTAACCAGTCAATTAATAACTACAAAAAAAGGGAAACAGCATTTCAAAATCTGTCTCCAGATCAAGTATCATGTTAACATGTTTTGTAACTTTCCTCTTCCTGCCACTAATGTGCAAATGAAGTTCCTGTTACTTATTATTTACAGAGTAATCCTGCAATATTGGAGGGCAGCTGAGTTGTGGTGCAATGACAAGAATAACATGAGGGAAAAGTCTATTTAGGAGAACTTCATCTATAGTAGTCAAAACTGCCTAATCACTTAAGTTATCTTAAGTTGGGAAGGTCATGATGTTTCTCAGGACAGTTGGGAAGCGCAAACGAATATAGTGTAGGTAAATGTGATATAATAAACACAAACTGATGTGAAATAATGACAGCATATCATTTTGTTCCTTGTGGTGGATTGGGTGTACCCCACCTGTTGTTCAATCACTACTGGAGACACCAGCCCTCATCACCCACAAGGATAAGTGAGTATTGACAATGAATGGATGGTTATTGTATTTTTTTTCTTTTGATGAAAGGCATAAGTTTTGATACAAGACTTTCTGTTTTATAAAGAAATGGGTAGCAATGTTCAGGAATTTTGCCTACATTACACACGTGTTCTTGTTAGTTTGGCTTTGATTGTGCTTGAACCTGCTGCAAGTTAAAATATAAGCATGGCGTCTGACTCCAAGCATTACCAGCTGTTGTGGATAAAACCAATTATTATTGACTCGGTTTTATCGTTCTGCTTAGTGTCCCGGTTTGGTATTCTATCTCTTAACAGCAATAACTGCTTTGAAGCTAATAGTAAAATGGCCCAGTGAGCCGACAGGTGGGGTGCGGCCAAATCCCTGTACTTCATGCAAAGATTACCTGCAGCCATCTCAAAGCTGCAGTATGTAACTTTTACAAAAACATAATTTTAAACATTTGTTTAAACTGTCACTATGCTTTGAGAGTGGGCTACGAGTCAGATAAATAATAATTTTAAAAAATCAAGCTCCTCTGCCTCTTCCATTGCTACAATTATCTGGAAAAATGCAGTGAGAAACAACCAATCAGAGACCGAAGGAGGGTCTAATCGCTGTCAGTCAACCTTGTGAATGTGCTCTTCAATGTGAATGGCAGAAAAACAACATAGACACAGTTTATCGTGTCTATGGTAACCAGCCTTCCTGAGGAAGAAGCTCTAGCGTAGCAGAGAGCAAGGGGGAGGATGAGAGTGGCGTGTCCACAAAAGGGACTGACAATCAGAGCTCCTCCTGGCTCTGATTGGTTGTTTCTGCAGGAGCAATGGATTTGATTAGATGACAGCAGGACCGTCAGGGGAAGGCAGAGGAGACTGAATTCACAGATTATATTATACTGTCAGGACATAATGATAATTCTAACAAATATGAAGAAAACATTTTTTTTAATAAGTTACTGCAACTTTAAGAAATGTGTCTCATCTTCTGCATGGTGAGTTGAGACTTCTCCTATCTGGATGCAGATATTTGATCACCAAATGCAAAACTGACCCATTTTGTTCCTGTAGCCATAAATTTCCAAAATCAGTATAGTTTAAATATTTTTTATGTTTTTTTAATCTTGTTCTATTGAGGATACTGTGATTTAGGCTGTGCTTTCATTTTAGCCTATTGCTTTTATGGTTTTTAATACTTCAAAGTATTGATCACTGGACTACTTTTAATCATATCATATTTATATTTATTGTCGTTTCATGCCAACTTTCCTAATAGGTAAGAAAGCTGACTCACCTCAATGTAACCAAATCTACCTAACAGTATAAACAAAGCTGACTGATTGATAGACTCATCATCATCATCTATGATTGTAATAGAAATCCTGGACATGAAGTTCTGCATC